AAAAAGTTCATATCATTACCAGCCATTTTTCTCGATAAGCTGCTCCAAACTTGTATCAAAAATCTCCTTATTTAAGTTTTCACGTACACGTGTCACTGGCATGCTCACTGATTTCTGAAACTTCCTCTCAGTCTCTGTGTTGTTCTTCCTGCCCTGTCCATTCTGCATCAGAAAAATCACATATATGTATAAATACTACCATAAACTGATATGATCATGCAGCTTAAAGTTTATATGCAGAGATGAAGAATCATAAAAAGTTTCTTTACTGATAAATGCATTTAACAAAAAGTTATGCAGAAGTTTGAAACCTGAACAGTGTGTGGTGAAGTTGAAATAGCAGTGAGGTGTTCTTCCTCTATCTTCTTCTTCGATTTCCAGAAAGCGTTAATTTCATCTTTGGTCAGTGAACGGTTCCTCTTAAGTGTGGCTGAAACATTCAACAACGTTAACCTCATCAAAAATCACCATCTTTTACCATTATTAAACAGGCTTAAACACAAAGCATCAAATTTATCAGATATTAATATAAATTATGGATCTTTGTTTAAGTTAATCCGACACGACACGAAATCAAAAATTGATTTATAAGTTAATTACCTGACTTAGGATCCACATGGGTAGAGTCCCATCCTGCCATGAGAGAACCCATTGTGTTGTGAAACTGTGAGTGAAACTGTGAGTAATATATCTAAAAGGATAATTAATCTACTTGCTCGTCATCACGGCTTTCTAATATTTTTATATTGTTCCTGATGACAGTGATGATATGTTTCTTTTTCCTTTGTTCTTATCTCTTCTTGATTTTTTCAAGCGTGATGAGAAAAGATGAAGTGGGTCCCACATCTTATATAATACTTTTCATCCTATGATTTTGATGAATAGAGTAAATGAATGTTCTGGACTTCAATTAATGTCGCCCATAGAATAGAATACAAGGTGGCGATATTAACGCTAATGTTTTTGTTTTGATCAACCTTAAACTGAATGTTCTATTTTTTAACTGTTTTTTTCTCGTTTGGAACTGGTCATGGAGACACATCTGAAGTGTATATTGTGATTATATTTTATTTTCACAATAAAATAGATAAATAAATGTCATACTTTTGAGAAAAAAATATAAATAATAACATTATCTGATAAGGCTTTGTCATTGGATATCTGAATCTGCACATACGACAAACAAACATTAATAATAACATTTCTTTATCGATAAGATAATAAAACATTTTAATGTTTTTCAATAAATTAAGATCTATAAAAAGATTTAGGTCCCACCTTAATTAATTCACAAAGTATCTTAATAAATATAAGCTATATATTAAAAATAAAGAATAGGTTAAAATATTTCAAAATGTATTATTATTGTAATTGTTTAAAGTTTCATTAAAAGGAACTATGTTGGTGCAATATGACCTATGATAATTGAGGGTATATGCAAATGGAACCCACTTGAATAAAAAATCTTATCTTCAAGAAAATATCCTTAGGGGCAGTCCCCACCTCCCTTTCTTTTTTTCTTATTTTCGTTTTTACTTAGTTTTAAATGTATAATTATCAACTTGATCTATTATCTAAAATATATTTTGAAATAAAGTTGTGTAAGAGGTTATTATTCACTTAAAAATTTAACAGATAACAAAATATAGTGAACCAAAAAAAATTCATATAATAGAATTTATGAAATAATAATAATAAAAAGTTAAGATTATTTGCAAAAGAAAAAGAAGAAGACAAAATTAGATTAATTTTTTATTGATTAAAAGATAAAAAATAAAATGATTATATGAGAAAAATTTTGTAAATTAACTTTTTTGTTTTTTTTATAAAGAAATGAGTTCAATGTTCTGAATTTATTCATTTTTTCATAACATTTAAATACAAAGTATTAATTGGAAGTAATTATCATTAAATAGTCAAAGGAGGAAAGTAAACTATCAATTAGTTAAGTTGGGAAAGGGGGAATTTGCTTAATTGTGCTTTTATTTGTGAGAAAGATGAATGTAAATTTTCTTAGATTGTATATCTTTTGAAAATATAAAAGATAAATTTTAATTTTATTCTAAAAAAGCTTTAATTTAAATATTTTGAAATTTCTCATATGGGATTAAGGGCATTTTTTTTTAATTTAACTAATATATATATATATATATATATATATATATATAATTTTATAGAAAATTTTGAATTATAGCATATATATTTTTTAAATTGCATAAACCATTCATATAATTCTTTACAAATTAATGTAAAAGAGAAGATGAAGATAATTTAATAATACTAGGTGATTCCATTCATCTTTGGTAAAACCATATTGTCACCAAATCACACACTTAAACCCTCTTTTATTTTAATCAAACTTAAAAGTTACTATAAAAAATAATAAATTTAAATTTATAAAAAAAAAGTAGTTTAAAAGGAAGTAAAGTCTAAATATTTTATTAATTAAATTAAAAAGCTTATAAATGAGTTCATTTAATTATTTTATTTAATACTTATTTTGGTCCTTCGTTTTCTAGGGTGTGTTCAAAGTTGTCTTCTTTTTTTTCAAAAGTTCACTAACGTCTTATATTTTGAAAAAACGGTTCACGTTAGTCCTTTTTGCTTACTACTTTAAAAAAGCTAACGGCAGACTTGTCCATTGTAAAAAACTTGATGACTTGTACAATTATTGTTGACGTGGCACTGTGAGGTGTTTAGCCCCTATTTGACCAATGAGAAGATGCCACGTGACAGATCCCTTTTCACCCAAAGTTAGGGTTTCACAATTGCAGAATGGGCAAGTGCTTTCTCTGCGTCGTCATGAAAACTAGAGGTTCTATAACGAATTGCCATGGAAGCGCAATTCAAGTATTCACAACGGCGGTGTGATTGCTACGCAAAGGAGAACGTCATGACACTACGATTTGGTCCTCGAGATGTAAATGAGTTTCTACTTTGGATGCAGGTTTGTTGGCGACACTTGCGAGGAGAATGGGTTTCGTGCATTTGCAGGTTGCGCGAGAATGATGAACTCGCGAGGAAGAAGATGCTAGGGTTTCTGTTTCTGAATTTTTGTGTTTGATTTGCAGGTAGTGGAGATTGGTGGAGGAGCTTGCGGTGTGGTTGGCATGGTTGCAACGCTAGGGTTCATGGCTACAACACTCGCGAGCTAGGGTTCATGGCAGCGGCACGATTCGGTTGCTCTGCTATGCGATTTGGGAGTTCAAAAATTGGGAATTTTTTTGAGTTTTGTTGTGTCTGAATCGCGAGGAAGAAGAAGATGTTGATGCTGTCCTCACGACGGCTTGAAAGGTGTTTTAGATTTTCCACGTCATTTTAACCCTAAACGTAATGAACACCTTAAATGACCTCACAATGCCACGTCAATAATAACTAAACAGGTCATCAAGTTTTTGCGAGGAGAGCAAGTCTGTCGTTAGCATTTTTAACGCCGTAAGCAAAAAGGACTAAGGTAAACCGTTTTTGAAAAGAAAGAGGATAACTTTGAACACATCATATATGAGCATGTATGAAAATATATGATGGTTATAATTAATCATGGACATGATACTACATAATATAGATGAATACAAATATGGGTGATTGTTTGGTATATGAAATTTGATGCGAAATCATGTTTACGGATGAAAGTTTGAGTTTGATGTAATTCACAAAATCTTGTAAGGAGATTCTATGGTAGCATTCCTTTAGTGTATGCATCATTGATGTAAGGATTCAAGTAAAGAGATATTCTAGTATTTTAATAATTATTCACGCTTATATAAAGTATAATGATTTATATGGTGAAAGTCATAGGAAATACTAATCTAAAGGCAGGATAATCATCTGATATGCAAAAAGGAATTAACCTCATAACTTATATATATATATAATGAAATTCATTAACAATTATTCTGTAGAGCAGTAAAAACCACTATAAGTACATGTCTCTAATTATTCTAACATTAAATACATGTATCCGAATGTGAAATAAAGTCTTTGATTATATGATTTGTATGTATATAATTGTTTTGAAGTACATGAAATTGTGGTACAATACGTGTTATTAATATATGATACTTTTATGTAAACTAGTTTAGCTTCTTTGTTTCGTTTGTCTTGTTTATGTTTATTTTTTAATTTTATAATAATTATTTTATGGGTGTGAGTAAATGAAAATATATGTATAGAGATAATATATATAAAAAATACCATTAGAGATGAAAAATTAAGAATTAGAATTAGAAAATACTTTAAGAGAAAAGTGATTAGATTGGTGTATATATATAATGAAATTCATTAACAATTATTGTCGAATTTATTTATGCACAATAATATTCATTAAAAAAACTTATATCCAAAAACGTTCTATTAAAATCAAACATGAAAAATAATTGATTTTAAAAATAATAATAACTCTTAAGAATATTCTTTTCGATTCAAAAATATATTTTTCCAAAATATAAGAATTTTATGCAACCAAAACAGTTAAATAATTCCCAAGATCCGTGATTCTCAAAATTAAAGTTCACCAAACAAATTCATTGACTTTTGATGTATACTTTAGACTAAATTGCAATTTAAGGTGAAACTTTTGATACTTTAAAATAGTTTTATGCGTTTAATTTTGTATTTAATGAGTATTATTTCTTAATTGAAAATTTAGTTGTTAGAGGAATTCCTCCTTATCCATATTCTTACTTAATGATTTTTTTTTCGTCTTCCGACTATAAATAAAATAAAAATCGCCATTAAATCTTCAAAGCATTTAAAAATGGATTCTGAGTGGAGGCTCACGATACCTTTCTTCCTTTGGGAAGAAGAAATAAAGTAAAAAAATAAATGGGAAACTCTTTGAAAATGTTTAATAAAGAAATAAATAAGAGAGAGAGCAATTTAAAAGTACAAAATTGACTATTATTTTATGTTTTTATTACTTTACATGTTTATCTTATTTTACTCATATGTTTCCTAAAAACAGGCCGGGCCCACCGATTTCTGCCATAACGTAATATGGAATGCCTTATCCAAGATGCTAACCTACCCACAGTTTCTTTCAAGTTAAAAATTGGAATAACTATTTTTTAATTCTCAAATTGAATTTTGACAAAGAAAGCTCAAAACATGCACCGGGAAGAGTTTTACAAAGAATTTATCCATTTATCTATAGGATATAGGAATATGGCACTTTAATATCATACTTTTTTATATCTATTTGATATCATTTTTCACCATTTTTTTTACTTTTTTTTAATATAAAAAATACATTTTATTAAAATCATTTTATCTTTATAAAGATTTTGAAAATGCTGGTGAAATGGATGAAAGAAACTTTTTCCTAATCTATAAATTCAAGTACATAAATGCTCAACTCATTAACATAATTGNATATATATATATATATATATATATATATATAATTTTATAGAAAATTTTGAATTATAGCATATATATTTTTTAAATTGCATAAACCATTCATATAATTCTTTACAAATTAATGTAAAAGAGAAGATGAAGATAATTTAATAATACTAGGTGATTCCATTCATCTTTGGTAAAACCATATTGTCACCAAATCACACACTTAAACCCTCTTTTATTTTAATCAAACTTAAAAGTTACTATAAAAAATAATAAATTTAAATTTATAAAAAAAAAGTAGTTTAAAAGGAAGTAAAGTCTAAATATTTTATTAATTAAATTAAAAAGCTTATAAATGAGTTCATTTAATTATTTTATTTAATACTTATTTTGGTCCTTCGGTTTCTAGGGTGTGTTCAAAGTTGTCTTCCTTTTTTTCAAAAGTTCACTAACGTCTTATATTTTGAAAAAACGGTTCACGTTAGTCCTTTTTGCTTACGACTTTAAAAAAGCTAACGGCAGACTTGTCCATTGTAAAAAACTTGATGACTTGTACAATTATTGTTGACGTGGCACTGTGAGGTGTTTAGCCCCTATTTGACCAATGAGAAGATGCCACGTGACAGATCCCTTTTCACCCAAAGTTAGGGTTTCACAATTGCAGAATGGGCAAGTGCTTTCTCTGCGTCGTCATGAAAACTAGAGGTTCTATAACGAATTGCCATGGAAGCGCAATTCAAGTATTCACAACGGCGGTGTGATTGCTACGCAAAGGAGAACGTCATGACACTACGATTTGGTCCTCGAGATGTAAATGAGTTTCTACTTTGGATGCAGGTTTGTTGGCGACACTTGCGAGGAGAATGGGTTTCGTGCATTTGCAGGTTGCGCGAGAATGATGAACTCGCGAGGAAGAAGATGCTAGGGTTTCTGTTTCTGAATTTTTGTGTTTGATTTGCAGGTAGTGGAGATTGGTGGAGGAGCTTGCGGTGTGGTTGGCATGGTTGCAACGCTAGGGTTCATGGCTACAACACTCGCGAGCTAGGGTTCATGGCAGCGGCACGATTCGGTTGCTCTGCTATGCGATTTGGGAGTTCAAAAATTGGGAATTTTTTTGAGTTTTGTTGTGTCTGAATCGCGAGGAAGAAGAAGATGTTGATGCTGTCCTCACGACGGCTTGAAAGGTGTTTTAGATTTTCCACGTCATTTTAACCCTAAACGTAATGAACACCTTAAATGACCTCACAATGCCACGTCAATAATAACTAAACAGGTCATCAAGTTTTTGCGAGGAGAGCAAGTCTGTCGTTAGCATTTTTAACGCCGTAAGCAAAAAGGACTAAGGTAAACCGTTTTTGAAAAGAAAGAGGATAACTTTGAACACATCATATATGAGCATGTATGAAAATATATGATGGTTATAATTAATCATGGACATGATACTACATAATATAGATGAATACAAATATGGGTGATTGTTTGGTATATGAAATTTGATGCGAAATCATGTTTACGGATGAAAGTTTGAGTTTGATGTAATTCACAAAATCTTGTAAGGAGATTCTATGGTAGCATTCCTTTAGTGTATGCATCATTGATGTAAGGATTCAAGTAAAGAGATATTCTAGTATTTTAATAATTATTCACGCTTATATAAAGTATAATGATTTATATGGTGAAAGTCATAGGAAATACTAATCTAAAGGCAGGATAATCATCTGATATGCAAAAAGGAATTAACCTCATAACTTATATATATATATATAATGAAATTCATTAACAATTATTCTGTAGAGCAGTAAAAACCACTATAAGTACATGTCTCTAATTATTCTAACATTAAATACATGTATCCGAATGTGAAATAAAGTCTTTGATTATATGATTTGTATGTATATAATTGTTTTGAAGTACATGAAATTGTGGTACAATACGTGTTATTAATATATGATACTTTTATGTAAACTAGTTTAGCTTCTTTGTTTCGTTTGTCTTGTTTATGTTTATTTTTTAATTTTATAATAATTATTTTATGGGTGTGAGTAAATGAAAATATATGTATAGAGATAATATATATAAAAAATACCATTAGAGATGAAAAATTAAGAATTAGAATTAGAAAATACTTTAAGAGAAAAGTGATTAGATTGGTGTATATATATAATGAAATTCATTAACAATTATTGTCGAATTTATTTATGCACAATAATATTCATTAAAAAAACTTATATCCAAAAACGTTCTATTAAAATCAAACATGAAAAATAATTGATTTTAAAAATAATAATAACTCTTAAGAATATTCTTTTCGATTCAAAAATATATTTTTCCAAAATATAAGAATTTTATGCAACCAAAACAGTTAAATAATTCCCAAGATCCGTGATTCTCAAAATTAAAGTTCACCAAACAAATTCATTGACTTTTGATGTATACTTTAGACTAAATTGCAATTTAAGGTGAAACTTTTGATACTTTAAAATAGTTTTATGCGTTTAATTTTGTATTTAATGAGTATTATTTCTTAATTGAAAATTTAGTTGTTAGAGGAATTCCTCCTTATCCATATTCTTACTTAATGATTTTTTTTTCGTCTTCCGACTATAAATAAAATAAAAATCGCCATTAAATCTTCAAAGCATTTAAAAATGGATTCTGAGTGGAGGCTCACGATACCTTTCTTCCTTTGGGAAGAAGAAATAAAGTAAAAAAATAAATGGGAAACTCTTTGAAAATGTTTAATAAAGAAATAAATAAGAGAGAGAGCAATTTAAAAGTACAAAATTGACTATTATTTTATGTTTTTATTACTTTACATGTTTATCTTATTTTACTCATATGTTTCCTAAAAACAGGCCGGGCCCACCGATTTCTGCCATAACGTAATATGGAATGCCTTATCCAAGATGCTAACCTACCCACAGTTTCTTTCAAGTTAAAAATTGGAATAACTATTTTTTAATTCTCAAATTGAATTTTGACAAAGAAAGCTCAAAACATGCACCGGGAAGAGTTTTACAAAGAATTTATCCATTTATCTATAGGATATAGGAATATGGCACTTTAATATCATACTTTTTTATATCTATTTGATATCATTTTTCACCATTTTTTTTACTTTTTTTTAATATAAAAAATACATTTTATTAAAATCATTTTATCTTTATAAAGATTTTGAAAATGCTGGTGAAATGGATGAAAGAAACTTTTTCCTAATCTATAAATTCAAGTACATAAATGCTCAACTCATTAACATAATTGTCAAAGCTGTACAACACCCTATTTGTTCAAGCAATTGAATAGCTGACCAAGTGAAGTACTCAAACAAAGAAGAAAACGGCAACTGATATAAGCAATAGAGGTACAAGCATCACCATCATCATTCTTAGTTGATATATATACATATATCCATTACTGGAAGGAAAAAGCAGAAGCTTTATCAATGGAGTTTGAAGATTTAGCAGAGGGATGCATTGCAGAGATACTGTCACACACGTCTCCCATGGATGCATGCAAGCTCTCCTTGGTTTCAAGAGCCTTTTGTTCTGCAGCTGAATCTGATTTTGTGTGGTCTGCTTTTCTCCTCAACTTGACCTCAATCATTCCTCCTTCTTCCATTCCCTCATCCAGTTCTAAGAAGGGTCTCTATTTCAATCTCTGCAACCACCCCACCATCATTGATCAGGGCAAAAAGGTCAGTACATAACACTTTATTATATTCTTTGAGTAATCCTTGTTCATGATTTTGATCAAACATAATTTGGTGATCTGGGCTCATGTAATAATTTCTCATGAATTTGGTTTTGGTGGTTTTAACAAAACCAAGCATTTCTGGTTTCAAACTGAATGAAATGTGTTGTCTCCGAAATTAATGCAGAGTGTTCAGCTGGACAAAAGGACAGGGAAGAAGTGTTACATGCTTTCTGCCAGAAATCTGGACATTGAATGGGGTGATGATGTTCACCATTGGGAGTGGACAAGCCTGCCTGAGTCCAGGTAAATTGATTGATTAAGGTTTCGAGAAACATTTTGTTTGACACCTTAATTTTAAGGTTTTACAAGTGTTTGTTGTAACTAGCTCAGCTATGTTTGATTGTGGTATGAAAAAACACAACTTTGATATGAATTCAGGACATTGAGCAATTGTTGTGTTAGCAGGTTCGAAGTGGTTGCTGTTCTTCGTGCTGTGTGCTGGTTTGACATCAGTGGGAAGATAAGCACGGTTGGTCTGTCATCAGACACTCATTATGCAGTATTTCTGGTGTTCAAGATGATCAATGCAAGTGGGTTTCACTACCATCCGACAGTGATATCAGTTGGTGTTTCTGGAGGCAGTACCAACTCCAAATATGTTTGTTTGGATCTGAACTTGAAAGATAATCGCTTAATAAAACTACCATGTCCTAAAGTGAGAAATGATGGTTGGTTGGAGATTGAGATGGGAGAGTTCTTCAATTCAGGCCTAAAAGAAGAGCAATTGCATGTGAAAGTCATGGAGACAACAAGCCATATATGGAAGTGTGGTTTTGTTCTTGAAGGAATAGAAATTAGGCCTAAACATGTCTGATATGTGAAGGATGAAAACTTCAAAAGAATGCAGAATTCTCAGTTTATTCTTTGTTTTGACATCTTTTTTCCCATAAGCATTGTACAAATATGCAAAGTTTTATTTTATTGTAACATTTTATTTAATATTTATTGTTATTAGCTTAATATAATGTTTCAAAAGTAGTTGTAAAGTAGATGTTTGTTAAAGAAAAAACTAATGTTTTTCAACGAAACTAGCGAAGTCACCAAGTGGTTAATCTTTGCCACTATTAAATGGTTTATTTCCATCAAATGGGTTTGGTGTGTTGCGATGATTGGGCCATTGATTGGGCCGTACAGCAGCACGATCAAATGCATAGAATCAAGGAGGTTACTTTCTGCACCCCTTCAATTTCTATCTGCACCAAACAAGATTTGGAATTTCAATTTTTATTTGAAGACATTATGTTGTGCTGGTGGCTGGAACTTGGAAGAGAGTTATCCGACAAGGGGTGTTGGAGCTCATGAGAATGTTTCAAAATGGTAAAGTTTAGATTAATATGCTTCCAGATTGGTATTTCTGGAAGTTGGAAGAACATTCTAGAAAATAAAATCTATATACAATCCAATAAAAACATTCTAAAAGTATATATTTAATTTGTTCTCTTATTTACCAAAATCCGAAATAGTAAATGTGCTTTTCTAGAACACTCTAATTCTTACACATTAAAAGAATTTAATACATTTTTAAATATTAAATTATGTATTTTAAAGTTACAATAAAGATACTAAAGAACAAAATAGAAAATCCAAATTCCTAGCATCATTGATTGGTTTGGATTTCGACGTCGGTGGGATGATAAAAAAAATAATGTTTCTTGTTTTTCCAACCAAGCAATTGCGACAACATAAGAAAAAGAAAATTTCTAAAGTCTGAATCTGACTGTTGAAAAAGAAAATTCATCTTTCTAAATTGGAAAAGTGAAGCATCATAGCAAGCAAGAAAACCAAATATACAAATACAAAAGGTCTATTTATAAAAAAAAGTTGAAAAACAATGATTTGACAACTATTTCCCTATATATAATCAATTAACACGTTTTTTTATGACAACAATAATATTTAAAATAATTAATAGAAAAATAAAAGGTAATTAAATAAATAATTGAAAATTTTAAGAAAGCATTAAATTCGAAATAGAGGTAAGTTCGAGCCAAGTTCCTTGATGTTATTGTTGAAAATTTGCAAAATGGCAATATCAGGTACACTAGCATGCTGAATACAACGAATGAGAAAGCTACAAATAAAGAAAGGAGGTATGAATGGGACGTAAAGAAAAAGGCATCTTAATGAAAAGCATAATGATATATTTTGAAAATATTTTTTTTAACATTTTAATATTATTTACATGTCATTATATAATTAATCTAAAATTATTTTATAATCAATAATAATAACTACAAATATCAATATAGACCAATAATAGAATAATACATGAATAATATTAAAATATTATTAAAAAAATATTATGAAAGTATCACTATGAAAAATATTTTGGAAGTATAAGAAGCATATGTTTGTTTAAATAAAGGATTTAAGTGATATTATAAAACGGAAAAAATAATGAAGAATAAAAAAATTAAATATGTTTGTAGTTTCTAAATTTAGACTTCATATTTTAGTATAATAATGTTAAATTATTTTTAGTTTTCATAATTAAATAACATTTTAAGTTAATATTTAGATTAAAACATGTTAAATAGTAAATGTAAATAAATTAAATATGAATCTGAAATATATTTTGACAAATTAAATTAAAAATGTCTAACACAAATTGATTAAAAAATTATATTTATTTATTTTTAAATTAAAGGCTAAACTGTATTAAAATTTAAGACAAATAAATTCAAATTTTATGTTAAATATTAAAAACTAAAAACATATTTATCCTATTAAAAAATAAAGATAAAATATGTTTATAGAATTAGGTTGTGTTTCAAATTCTAATATTTTTTAACTTGAAATTTTAAAAATAAATATTAATATAAATTCTAATGAAAAGCTTAAAAAAACCTATAATTTGTTTTAAAACATTTTATTAAACCTACTAATAACATTAATGTTTCGATCTTAAATTTCGTAAATGATATTATTCAAATCAATTATCCTTTATTTCAACCTCTTTAAAATATTCGTTTCGTCATAATTTAATAAATATTTATAAATATTGTTGATAGAAACAAATATATTAAAAGAAAATTAAACTTTTTTATCTTTTATTTCCTTCATTATCTTTAAATAAATTTGTATATAATTGATTATAACAAAATCTAATTGATTACAAAAATGTATAATCGATTTCGTCAAACCTGTACAATTGATTATTAGTTTATATACTTAGTTATTATTATACTTTATTAAATATCTATATTTTATTATAAGAAAATAAATATCTATCATTATAACGTTTTTATCTAAATCTTCCTATTTTAATAACTTTTTTTTTATTTATAAAAGCACACCTTAATGAAAAAAAAAGGAAAAGTAAACAAATAGTACATTTTAATATAAAAGCGCAATTTAACATTATTATTATTACCGAGGACAATATAATTTGATAATATTTTTTTATAATATTTTAATATATTATCATTATATTAATTAATGTTAATATTTATAATTATTATTATTGGTCGTGAAATAATTTTAGACTAATTATATAATAATACAATGATTTTAAAATATCGCTAAAAAATATTTTCAAATATCGTTATTCTATTGTTAACTGTGTGGTTGATGGATGACTCTCCTACTCAAGCCATGAATGAATTTACTCTGTCCTGCACTGTCACCACTCTCCTTCACACAATGAATTTCAGTACTTTTTTCTAACTTCAAAATTGAATGTCACATACCTATAAGAATGAAATAATAATANCTTTTGTTCTGCAGCTGAATCTGATTTTGTGTGGTCTGCTTTTCTCCTCAACTTGACCTCAATCATTCCTCCTTCTTCCATTCCCTCATCCAGTTCTAAGAAGGGTCTCTATTTCAATCTCTGCAACCACCCCACCATCATTGATCAGGGCAAAAAGGTCAGTACATAACACTTTATTATATTCTTTGAGTAATCCTTGTTCATGATTTTGATCAAACATAATTTGGTGATCTGGGCTCATGTAATAATTTCTCATGAATTTGGTTTTGGTGGTTTTAACAAAACCAAGCATTTCTGGTTTCAAACTGAATGAAATGTGTTGTCTCCGAAATTAATGCAGAGTGTTCAGCTGGACAAAAGGACAGGGAAGAAGTGTTACATGCTTTCTGCCAGAAATCTGGACATTGAATGGGGTGATGATGTTCACCATTGGGAGTGGACAAGCCTGCCGGAGTCCAGGTAAATTGATTGATTAAGGTTTCGAGAAACATTTTGTTTGACACCTTAATTTTAAGGTTTTACAAGTGTTTGTTGTAACTAGCTCAGCTATGTTTGATTGTGGTATGAAAAAACACAACTTTGATATGAATTCAGGACATTGAGCAATTGTTGTGTTAGCAGGTTCGAAGTGGTTGCTGTTCTTCGTGCTGTGTGCTGGTTTGACATCAGTGGGAAGATAAGCACGGTTGGTCTGTCATCAGACACTCATTATGCAGTATTTCTGGTGTTCAAGATGATCAATGCAAGTGGGTTTCACTACCATCCGACAGTGATATCAGTTGGTGTTTCTGGAGGCAGTACCAACTCCAAATATGTTTGTTTGGATCTGAACTTGAAAGATAATCGCTTAATAAAACTACCATGTCCTAAAGTGAGAAATGATGGTTGGTTGGAGATTGAGATGGGAGAGTTCTTCAATTCAGGCCTAAAAGAAGAGCAATTGCATGTGAAAGTCATGGAGACAACAAGCCATATATGGAAGTGTGGTTTTGTTCTTGAAGGAATAGAAATTAGGCCTAAACATGTCTGATATGTGAAGGATGAAAACTTCAAAAGAATGCAGAATTCTCAGTTTATTCTTTGTTTTGACATCTTTTTTCCCATAAGCATTGTACAAATATGCAAAGTTTTATTTTATTGTAACATTTTATTTAATATTTATTGTTATTAGCTTAA